CCAACTACTTGAAGGATACGGGAGATAAATGATCTATTTATATTTTTATGGAGAAGACATAACTGAAAAGAACACAGCACCCAAAGAAATGTTCCCTAAAATATACATACAGCATGGATGAGAGATATATGCACAGAACAAACAGATGCTAACTATATACCTATTCACACCAGCCTTAACTCTGCAAGACTCCTTAATTCAAGGAGATTTACTAACCACCATTGTAATTACAGAAATTAACCCTCTGACAAATCGGGGCATGGTGTACTTCTGTGATTTTTTTAAGACATTTTCTAATAAGATTGTTGAAACAGAATAATGAGGAGCTCTTAAATCCCAGCCTTGACGATTAACCCATAGACATTATAAATATATAGGACAATGTTGTTTTATAGCATTTATTCATTCAACAACGATTAACTGAGTACCTACTAGGTGCAGGAATTGTCTGGGCCCTGGAGATACGGCACGAACCATACAGACAAAGTTCTTGTCTCCATGGGCTGTGTTTGCTGGTAGACACTAAACATGCTAATAAATAATATATTTATAGAACTAAAAAATGCTGTAAAGAAAATAAAAAAGGGAAGTGAATGATATACTTCAAATAAGGAGAGTTGGGTAAAAGAAAAATCTAGCCTTTAAGATTTGAATTCTTTGAAGGGTAAAGAGAGAGAGACAGAAAAAAAAGAAGGCAAAGATTAAAAAAGCAAGCATCTGAAAGGAGGTTAAGGAGTCCTGGTGCTCATGAAATAGGAACCAAGGAAGGACACTCACCGAGAGATCCTGGGTCCAAAGACCCTCAATTCTGCCTTCTTCCCTTCACCCAACTCTGAATGGGTCCCTATCCACAGGGAGAGGGGGGCAACCTCTGCTCCCACTCCAGGCGCACAGGGCCCTGACATGCAGCACCCACTCTGGGAGAGGAATGAGCTGCTCTAGGAGGGCTTCACGGGGCTGGGGGCTAGAAGCTGAGACTGGCGCACAGGCAGCATGGAGATCTGAGTGGACGTACCTCATATGCTTGCCAGAAAGTGAGAGCAGGGACTGAGGGCATCACTTAGGAAGCCAGTCCTATTTCTGAAGTTTGAATGAAGCACTGACATTAGTGAGTTGGCAAAAGAGGCTGGCTGCTAAGAGATGTCAGGTTGGTATTTAACTTGGTGAATTTACCCAGGTTCAAGATACATGACTTTACTGAAGGGAATTTCTCTGAAATTAACCTATGTCTCTCAGACTACTTATAAACCAAACAGTAGTATATTTGTTTACAATGAGAAATATAACTGTGGTTGAGACCAGAAGGCAGTGTGCCTGGCACTTTATATATATTAATTCATTTAATTCTCACAACAATCAGGATGTAGTAGGAACTATTATTACCTCCATTTCACAGATCAGGAAACTGAGGTAAAGAGAGATTAAAATAACACGAAACGAGCGCAGAGCTGTAATTCAAACCCACGCAGTCTTGCTCCAGATTTCATGGTCTTAACCATTAGGTTACAAGCGAAGTGCAGGAGTTATAAAAAGGAGGAGAATCTAGAAGGTTGTTTGGGTCACTGGACTTGTGACTGATTATCCTGCAGAAGTTTAAAGCACATGTTTGTATTTTACCTGCATTTAATTCTAGTCTTTATCATCTGACCCTTCCACAGGAGACATCGTGCTTTATTTTGAACCTGTTTTTGTTCTACTGAATTCAAGGTATGGAGCTTGATGTTTAAGGCACAATAAGCTCCTCTAACTTTCTGAATGAAGAAAGCAGTGATTTGGGTGAGTTTGACAGAATAAGTTATAAATTTTCCAAGATGATATAGAAATCAGAGATGATTAATTCATCACCAAAACTTTTTAGATAACTCTAGTCAACATTTATTCAGGTCCAGGCTGGTAAATGTGTGCATGCTCCATCTTTACTAGCTTATAATGTTCATTCTGTTTTATTTTGAGGACATGGCTGATTTGTAAAATTCCAGTTTTAATTCCAAGTATTCCTTCTCATCTTCTGGGCCTACTTTTTGAATCAAGGCAGTTAACAAATACATTTTGATATCTGCTAAGTGCCAAATACTATGCTAAGGGTACAAAGATGAATAAGACATTGATCCCTACCAGAAAGGAAGGGAAAGAGGAGGCAGGAAAAGGCAGGTAGACCCAAAGTCACCCTCCCTTGCTTGGAATGGGATGAAAGTGCAGAACTTCCCTGGTAAAAGAGTAGCTAGTAATAGAGAACAACTGTACTCTTACTAACTATGGGTGAGGAACACAGTAAACAAAACTAAACCAAAAATACATCTGGGTCATTGTTTTCATTCTCCTGTTCATAAATCTCACACTCATGCTAACAACAAGCAAAGGAGCAATGGAGGTTTCATCTCCCCTCCCTAGGTATTCTCTGATGAAAATGTGTATCATGAGCTAGGAAAATTGTAATAGTTTTAGTAAACAGATTGATAATCCAAACCCTATTAGGCATGCTTTTTAAACCCTTTCTCTTTTCTAGAGCAGAGGAGCCACAGATGGGAATCCAAGGCTGTGAGCCGCAGAACACCAATGGGCCATGCTGGATGGACGAGGAGACCAGATGATTCCGCTCCCTCATTTCATAGGTAGCATTTGATTCTTAACTCATTTCTCCGAGTTAAGTGATTTGTCCAAGGTCACACAGCTAGTCAGTGGCAGAGCCATTACAGCCTAGAAATGTTCTTCCCTAATCTAATTTTCAACTCAATACTAAAGCCTTGATATTAAGGGCAGCATTAGACATACTCTGAAAACAGTGAGAGGCCATGGGAATAAGAATGATATTAAAAAGTCATAATCAAGGGCAAAAAGTAACCCCTAAGAAAATCTTCCCATTCTCATCTTGAGTCTCCTTGCTGCTCCCTCTCTGTCCTCAGTTCTGGCTTTTTCTTCTACTCATAAACTCATCATCATCTCAATCTGCCCAATTGTGAAAGACTTACATTTAAAAAATACCAATTGGATCCTGAAAACAGGATGGCTTCCTTGTATCACCCTATTACCATACATCCATTAAACCGTGAGTAAAAAACAGGTAAAAATGCCTCACTCTTTGAATGAAGTGTGAGACAACTAATCGCCACAAGGCACTAAAAATGGTAGAGCTGAAAAGGTTCTTTGTTGAAATGCATGGTTTATTTATCCTACAGCTTAAGGAAACATGCAAGGCTTGTGCAATTAATTTTAATATCTCACACGTGCCAATTTTTGGAAGCATCAGGCCAATTTAATGCAGCTGACTGTGCCAGACAACACAGTTGCCAAGACAAAGGCAAATTCAACTGGACCAAACCCCCCCAGTTCTCAGGTTAGGCCCCCTCCTTCTACCTGAAAGCATCCACACACAGCAGCTTGGTTTTTGGTGCATTTCACACACATGGAGGACATTTCAGAGGATAGTCAAGGAGGAAAATGACTACATGGCACTGAACAAAAGGACTGTCTGCTCTTCTGCTTTGATTTTCATCCTTTGTAAATGAATCTGTAAAGCCAGGGCCTGAGTGTGGGGACAGAGGGAGGAGCCTGGCACTCCTCTTCCCTAGTCCCTTAGGCTTTGTTAATCTCCTTACACTCTCTTCCAAGGTAATATTCAAATCAGCCACACAACTCAATTTACTTTGCTTGTGACTCTAATTGAATAAATCTAAAATAACAACAGACGCCCTGGCCCAGAGCCTTGCCCAAATTCCTCCCTAGATACTGAAAGCGCATTCTGGCTGTTTTAATTCTGCCTACAAGCAGGTAAAGGCACTCTGGTCCAGTCCCTAATTTTACATTAGAGGCAGAATGACTGTCATTTGCTGTTTCAGAGATTGCTAAGGTTTACTGATGGGTGAATGGTTTACAGGATAATCTAGGAAGAATTCAAACATCCTTGAAGGTTAGGAGGCTATCTTATCCAAGTCAGTTAGTCAGGTTTTTTTTTATCTTGAGGAAGATTAGCCCTGAGCTAACTACTGCCAATCCTCCTCTTTTTGCTGAGGAAGACTGGCCGTGAGCTAACATCTATGCCCATCTTCCTCCACTTTATACGTGGGACGCCTACCACAGCATGGCTTTTGCCAAGCGGTGCCATGTCCGAACCGGTGAACCCCGGGCCCCCGAGAAGCGGAACATGCGAACTTAACCACTGCGCCACTAGGCCAGCCCCAGTTAGTCAGTTTTTAATGCAAAGATGTTCAGTAAGGTACTATTCTGTGCCTAAATATCACTTCTTCAAAATCATAAGATCTGAGTCCACTATGGGAGTTTGTTGAGTCTATTTTCTAAGTGACATTAAGGTGAGTCCTCAGTGACCCTGTTTGTAGCTATTCCCATTTGTAAACACATTCAGAGAATGACTACCATAATAAACCCTCTCATTCTAGCTTCTCTCAATCCTTTTGCAGAGCGTAAGAATTTTTAAAATGATGTTATTGCCCACTGGGAGTAGAAATACAGGTTGAAGTCTTAGGAACATCATAAGATAAGCAAGCCACTGAGTTTAAAACTGGTGGATCAGACCTTGCAGTTTCCAAGCTTTTCTTTGGGAAGAGCATCACCTAATAACAATGCTTTCAAGGGAATCACGTGGCTAGGCATGCTGAGTGGCTTTTTAACATCACACGCATAGATATGCTGACATTCTTTCAGCTATTTGAAGATAAGGGTTGAAAGAAACCAATACACATGATTGGCACCTCTCAAGGAAAGGAAGGAGCAGCGCGGGGTGGCTGTGCTGTGGCTAACTGGTGATGGTGTTGTGGAGAGATCCTGTGTCTTAGTGACAAATGAGGGTAACCTTCTCTATCTGAGCGTTCCCCACAGGAGGACAGTCACCATGATGAACACATCTGCTTCTCAGTGTGCAGGTGTTTTCATCATACGTTCATTGTATATTATTTTTTTTTTTCCCAAGGAAGATTCGCCCTGAGCTAACACCTGCATCAGTCTTCCTCTATTTTGTATGTGGGTCACCGCCTCATCATGGCCACCGACAAGTGGTGTAGGTCTGCACCAAAGCAGAGTGTACTGAACTTAACCACTAGGCCATGGGGCCAGCGCCCATGGTATATTCTTAAGAGACTGGAAACTCTCATGGGTACAGTAAATGCCCCAGGAAGCACTTCGGGCCAAGGACTTCTTTCCTCAACAGAGACCAAGTGGTCTTCACCTTCCCAATAATCTTGCCATGCACTTGACCCTAGCCTCCTTCACTAGTAGAAATATTTCAAGTCTTTTTATTCCCTTGCAGGCCCCTGTGTCTCACCTTGGACTAATAAAGCCCAGGTCCAACTACTGCTCAGGCTGGAGACGGCACCAAGCAGTTCAGGGTGAAGATTGGCTCCCAACCACGGGACACCTGGTGGGAAGGTGTAGCTTTGCTAGCCCAAATCCCTCTCTGCCACCAGAACACCTGTGAACTCAAGCTCACGCTCTAATAAAAGCCAGCTGGTCGCCTTATTTTTGACTATAAGGGCAACATGTGATAAGTTACCTTAACATCCTGCCGCTATCATCAGTGCTGCCCAAAATAGCAGGGAAATGTTCACCAAGTGAATAAACAAATGTTGACATCACTACCTGGAGCAAACCTCCATACCTATTAAATATCCCACAGCCCGTGATCTCAGCTATTTGAGATTTTTTCCTTTTTATATTTGTTTTATGCCCCTCCGATCTCACATCTTGTTTCTAATCACAGCTCAGAGTGAAACACATGTAAGGTAATTACTCCTCGGTGCTCCGTGGTAGCGATCATTGATTAGAAATCATTTTCAGAGGGAACACTGTAACAAGGAGTTTTGATCAAAGCTGGATTATTATTTTAGTTCTTTGTCTCACCCATGTACATTTGCTCCCTCCTCCTGGAAGAAAATTTGTGTGTGTGTGAACATAGATCATAAGGGAGTTGCGTTTTTCTTAGAGTGGAGGCATTTATTTCCTTAATTAGTCTAAAATAAATATTTCTATAAAAAACTACTAATTAAGATTTTTCCTGAAGCTCATTTTTTCAGCCCTTAACGTCATTTCCTTCAATTCCATCTTTCTGGGATGAGGCCATGTTCAGGTCAAGATGCTGTGTGCTGCAGGGCCAGACCCAAAAGAGCCAGAGTGAATACGCTCGCTCATCACAGCTGCAGGCGCTGGAGCAGCATGAGGACAGGGAGGGGTCTCTGAAGACATCAGCTGGGCTGTGGAGGCTTTGATGCACCCAGTGAATTTATTCACAGGTCCCGTCTTTCTGTGCCTGCCCTGCCAGCAGCCTGGACCTTTAAATGATGCACAGCCACAGAGCACAATGTATCTCAAATTTGTCCTTCTTTTAAGTTGTTTACAGCTGTGCAGATTACTCTCTTATCTAATCCTGGAGAGCAAGTATCCAACGTCTGCAATAGAAGCTGGAGTGAGATGCACAGGAGGAAGTTCTTTTTTTTTTTGCCATTTAAGAAATCCTCTTCCATGCTTTTTCCTGAGGTGCTGGGTTAGAGTTCACATGCAGGGGCAAAGACAGGATATGCTATACCATCAGCTCTCAATTACTGCTTTAGATGGAGAAAAAAATAATTTAAGATAGTCTAAAAGGTTTTAAAGCTAACAATATATTTTTTCAGAGTAACAGTTTTATCTTGGAGTAAACCATCATCAGTCCTTACTCCAAACAATCAGAAAGCTTAAACAGTGGACAAGTGACTGAAAACAAAGGCCTATGAGGGATTTACAATGTTCAGAAGAGCATTCTCCATGGATTGTCCTGGTCAGTGAGCTCAAGCTTAAGCCTTTACTCTTTTACATTTATAGTTTTCTATAGTAATAAACTTGTCCCCCCAAAATGATAAGCTACAAGCGTCTAAAATGTGTATTATATATGTGTATACATAGATATTATGTGTTAGAATCCTTGCAGACATCCACATTTAAACACATATGTATATACGTATGTGGGATTAGCATAAGCCTATGGCTAAGAGGACTTCATTCATCCAGTGAATATTTACTAATTGTCCAATCATTATGGTAAGCACCAAGGAGAATAGATCAATAATACAAAATTCCTACCCTTGAGTTTATAGTCTAGTGGGAGGGACATTAAATCAGTAAGTGCAATAAAATGTTAGTGGCTTTTTGATGGACATACACTTAGGTACTGCGAACACCAGGTGAACAACTCTCCTAGGAGGACAGAGGTAGCATGAACGGTTCCCAGGAAAGCAGTCCTCGACCTGCAGCATGACGGTGCTTCCCTGGCGGCCTCCATGTCTGAACTCTTGGATACCTGGTAACCCATGCTTGGGATGCGTGGTAACTCACAGATGACCATTGTGGATGAGCAGCATCTTCTGTATTAGCTCCCTGGGTTAACACTAATCCTGAGTTTCATTACCTGCACTTGGCAGTAAGGGAATACAGTGTGGGAGTGTGCTGTCCTTAAAACTGTTGACATGCAAAATACAATGGACAGTTCAGTGTACCGTGATGCCCGCTGAACAGAATCAGTGGTGCGCCTTACCTCTCTGTGATGCTGTCATATCACACCACAGTGAGTAAGAAGAGCACCAAGGGAAATGAATGGCGTTTTGAAAATAAAGACAATCTTCTGAAACAGCTGTTTACTCCCAAAGGAAGAGAAGTTGGCCTGTCTCTGGCCTGCACTGGGAACAGGGCAGTGGGGGCTTTGTCACAAAACCTCTGCTGTTGGAAACCTCTGTATGAAACCTCTGCTGTCAGTTAGCTACGTGAGCAAGCAAGGCCAAGTCTATTACCCTGCCTGGAAAAACAAAATACAGGAGCTTGAACTAGGGGAGATGGCCCACTCCCAGCATTAATTTGTTTGTTCTGCATGATATAAAGCAAAGTCAGAGTTACTGTGTCTCCTTCAAGTCCAGCCATGACTACTTAATAGCTGTTTGACCATAGGCCAGCAAATTAGACTCTCTGAGCCTCAGTCCTCCTACTGTACCAGTACATAACAGAGTACCTCATAAAAAACAGGTACTCAATAGCATGTGCATCTGCACACACACACACACAACTCCCTAAGAAAAGTGCCCACACAGGATTACAGGAGAAAGAGACTTGAAAGACACACTCACAAAAAGTTAAACATTATCTCGGGAATACAACCTTTAAAAACTTAGTCCAACAGTGAAGCAAATATTAGCAAAGTGGAGCATGACTAAAAAAAAAAAAAAAGAATTATTCAGAAACCCACCAGACGAGTTAAGAGTAGATTCAAGAGACAACTTACCTTAGGGGAAGAATGTGACCCTTGGTCACTAAAGCTCTGAAGCAAGGGGAAGAAAGCAGATGATCCTTCAAAGATCTCCATGTTCTAGCCAGATGCTCAGGACCTGAAGCAGCAGACAGGCAGCGGAGACACCCCAACGTAGGGCCACTGACCACATCTCTAATGGACACAGACTGGTTCTGAGGGAGGACCTTGCCGGTCAGTCAGTGAAACGCTCCAAGAACAATATATACCTTTTCAAGGCCCTATACCCCAAGAGCCCTCACTGGCACTTGTTCTCACTGACTCACCTGCAAATAAAGAACCAAATGTTGACTAGAGAAGAGAGGAAGAGAGGTGGGATTCCCCAATTTACAAGAAAATGTGGCCCTTCCCAGGCACCACAGAGTTTTTCACAGGGCATTTATGCAAATGGCCTGATGCACTGGGAACCAAGTGCATCAGAAAGAAGAATTTACTTCTCATTTTTGAAAATCCCCAAAGATATTCTGAACACGTCAGACACAATTCCCAGCACAAATCTTCAAGAATTCTTGAAGTGCAGGGTATAAACATAACATTTCATATGCAAATTTCAAATACTCATTGAGACCAACATGGCTTCTGGTTAAATGACAACTTCTATGACAGGACATGAAACACCCAGGTACAGTAACAGGCACTGGGAAGACAAAGGCAGCCAGACAGAAGGCTGAAGAACACATGTTAAAATAAAAAATTCAATCATCTTGTTTTAAAATATTTGGATGCACTTTTAAGAGCTTCCTCTCATTTTAGACTTACAATGCTGCTTTCAAGGTAGGGATGTTATACCAATTTTTTAGATGATGAACCAGTGGCCCAGAGAGGCTAAGTGACTTGTCCAAATGAGGGAGTGCCCGGGTTAGAATGCAGGTCTCTTTCTACGACATCAATCAATTTAATTGCACATGCATCTGAGAGAAATCTCTTAAGAAGTAGCTTTTATCTTGGGGTGGACAGCCTAGCCAAGCTGCCTGACAGTTCTGAGTGCTGCTACGGGAGGCCTTGGAGTGCCTGTCACCCTCACTGCCCCTGTATAAGTCTCGGTGCTTGGGTTATATGATCCTATCAGCAGGCCTCCGATGACGGGACCAAGGATGGGTGCTGGCCATGCAGCAGCGAGTGGCCTGAGCTCTGCCCAGCAGGGAGCCCCCTCCTGCTGGTGACTCCATGGACCAATAAGATCCTCCCTCCTGAGGGGGCTGGACATGCCACAAACAGAAAAAGAGTCATTGGAACAAATGAAACAGACACCATCAGGTGCCCAGGCACTATCATGGTCAAGCCTGCGCAGAGGGCACATAACGGAGGCACAGGACAAGCTTCCTGGGTGCTAGCAAGGCACAGATCCTGAGAGGCCAGTTCTCAGCGAGGCCTGCTCTGAGAAGACTGGGGGGTTTTACGTCTCCCCTCCCAGCTCGTACATCTAAGCCTCTAGTCCCTGAAGTAGCTCTTTTCATTGTAACCCAAAAGAGCAAAGCGTATGATTACTTTAAAGTCCTGTATCAGAATATAGAATCTGAGAATGACTAAATGGCACCATCTCCCTCTATTTGGTACAGCGTCCACAGGCAGAAGTCACCATTCTGAAAGGGTGCTCCTTGCTTTCCCTGCCCACCTCAGATATCAGACTGGGCCTGAAATTGAGAGCTAGCCATAAAAATTGCTAGGGGGAGCTGCTGTGGTCTGAAATTTTCCTCTCAAATTCTTAAGCTGAAGTCCTAACCCCTAGTATCTCAGAATGTGGCTGCATTTGGAGACAGGATCTTTACAGAGGTAATTAAATAGAGAAGTCATATGGGTGGCCCCTAACGCAATACGTCTGGTGTCCTTATAAAAGAAGGAGCTTGGGATACAACACGTACAGAGGAAAGACCACGTGAAGACACTGGGAGAAGACGGCCATTTGCAAGCTAAGGAGAAAGGCCTCAGAAGAAACTAAGCCTGCCGATACCTTGATCTCCGAATTCCAGCCTTCAGACCTGTGAGATGATAAAACCCCAGTGTTTGGGCCACCCAGTCTGTGGTATTTTTTTATGTCAGTCTTGGCAAACTAACACAGAAATCTTCAAGTCGGTTCTCTATGAAGACACCAAAGAGGCTCTCAAATGACTAAAGCCATGAGCTGGGAGCAGCATAGTGATTTGGGAGGGACCTATCCTGGGTGCAGACCGCTCTGCGGCAGAGAGGCCACGTCCCCTTGGGCAAGATGCTGTACCTCCGCTGCCTGGTGTCCAGAAGGGAGCCTGTGACACTGCACATCTCGGGGAGGGTGGTGAAGGCGTAACGAGGTCAGGTGAGTACAGACTCAGCGCTGTGCTCGAGCCAGTGAACACTGCCCTCAAGAAAGGTCTACTTTTATTCTTTCACAGTTAATCAGACAGTGCCGGGTACCACTAACCAGATGTGACACAGCAAGGACGGGGTATTGATAGCTAAGTCCTCCTCACCAAGAATGACTGGACAGCCTTAGCCTGACCTGGCAATCAGGTACTCCTCATTCTGCTCTGGATCCTCTTCTTTGTCCTCCCTGTGAGTTTGCCACATCCTTGTAAGTATCTGGTGCCATGGTGTGCTGGGACAAATGGCTGTGTCATCTATTAGTCTCTCTGTGCACTTGTCTGAAGCTCCCTTTAACTGAGGGTGTTTATGGGAAGTTTTGATAAAGAGGCTTTGCTTCTCATCAGTACATTCTAGGGAACCCTGCTCCCGTCTGACGCCTGGAGCAGCTTTTGGTTTGTGAGTCAACCCCTGCTCACCAGCGAGCTCCGTCTGATACGTGAGCTGGTCGTGTCGGTGCAGTGGGTCAGGAAGACTAACTTGCTGACTGAGGCAGTCAGGCTAATAAAGAAAGTTCTTAAGTGTCAAAAAAATTACTTGGGCTAACAAAGAAGCTCTCAGGGGACAGAAACAGGACCCCATTGTACTTCCAAGCTGCCTCTGCTGGACTCCTGGGGGCAAGTAACGGAAATCTACTCCTGCTGGCTTGACGGGGAAAGGGACCTTGTTCTAGGTGCCAGGGGGCCAGGGAGAGGCATGCCTTCCAGCCCAGGAAAGCACAGGAATAGGGACTTGACTGCCCTCTGGACTCCATCGTGGTTTCCCACCTCTACTTTCCTCTATATCTGCTTGGTTCTCTTCTCTGCAGACACCATTCTTTGCCTCTCTGCTTCTCAAGGCAACAGATGATGTGGAAGGTACCTCTGTCAAAAGAAAGACTGAATCTCTGTCATCCTTAGTTGTAAATTCTCTTTGTGGGGGCCAAGCGTATGTCTGGGTCCAATCAGCTGAGACTGGGAGCTGTGGGGGGAAGGGAGCGGTGCGTGGAGAGGAAGCCTCACTGCACAAAATGGCTGCCAGGGCCCACTGCTCTGGATTGGGAGAGAGGAGTGGTTCACAGAGAAGGGGAAATCACTGGGAGCCGGGCAGACACCCCTAAAGGTAACCACTATGCTGTGAAGCCTCGGCTGCAAAAGCTCAGGGTTCTACAGTCAAACTCAAACCACCATCATATGGACTACACTTCCTAACAGAGATTTTTACTTTTAATCTTCCTCATAAGTGTTGCCATTTTCTTGGCTACATCCAGTACTAGAATTTCATATATGAATTTGAATTTTGGATTGCTCAATAGGTATCTCCAAACAGAAATGCTGATTAAAACAAAACAAACAAAAAACCTATCACATTTCTTTAAATTCAAAAAGAAACGCTACTGCTTTTTGTAAATTAGTATAACAAGGCTATTTTAAAATAGACTTCTAGTAGTTGATGTGCTTTGGAAATTATTTTACCATGAAATAGATTTTAAAACACCAATAGATGATGGCAAAATAGTGTCATCTCCTCAAAATGGTGGACATCCCTTGTTTCATGAGCACCCACAGCAACTATCTGGTATTCACTTACATCATCAGATCAACTGCTCAGTGAATTCCAAATCAGGACCCAAAGCGCTGGCTGCCTCGTGCAGGAGCCCTCTCATATTTAGACCCTACAGAGTAGACTTCAGGCCTGAATCAAACCCTTGAGAAACAAAGACACAGGGCCTGCCCAGAATGAAAGTCTCATCAAATATCACCCTGCAAACAGATGTGCTGGCTGCAAATTCTGATTCTGTCATTTCCTACCTCAAGGCATCCTTCTCATTTCCTCTACTGTACTTTTCTACCAGCAACATACGTGCTACCAACATTCTACAGCACCTACTGTGCTAAAAAAAAAAAGTACATTGCAACCTTTTCTTAACGTGTTAAAAAAATTCCTCTCTCAGGTCTTAAACCCCACCACACTTTTCTTTTTTCCTCTTCTTATCCAAAACAATTAGACCTTGAGAAAGCAGCTTTACTGTTTGGAGTAAATTATCATCAAGCAACCGGATGCCTATTTTGAGCATGAGCTTAAGTACAATAAACACAACACAGAGAGCTTTCTAACTAGAAGCTTTGCTGTTCTTGGTGTGTATTTAATGCTTGCATTTAATTACAATTAGTTCCTCCCAGAAGAAACTCACCACTAGGATGTTATCACTACCACAGTAGTTAACACTTATTGTATACTTATGTGCCAGGCACTGCAAAATAACCTTTTAAGGTAAGTTCTAATGCTAAACCCATTTTAAAGATACAGATACTGAGGCTTAGAGAGATAAAGCAACTTACTCAAAGTCCCACAGCCAACAAGTGACACAGCCAGGACCTGGACTAGGGTGACCTCCAAGGCCCAGGCTGTAGCCACCACTCTACGAAGGCTTCCCTGAGCAACGGCACATCCTGTCCTTCCAGGGCCCATCAAGAAATAAGACAGAACATGACAAAAATGACATAGTGTAGCCATGGGGTCAACTGAACTCCAGAAACCATGGCCGGATCACAGGAACCTGAGCATCTGACCATACCAGGATTTGCCTGGGAGAAAGGGCATGGGGAGGCTCTGCTTCCCAGTCTCCTCTGGCTACACTGCAGCCCCGGAAAAGGGACAAGGGGACTGCCACGTGGATGACTCTCGTCTGAAACGAGAGTGGGGCTACTATTGGGTATGAATAGGAATACATGCAAACCAAGCCACAGATGACCCAGTTCATATACATACAAGCCAGTGTTTAAAGTGTCTTTTTAAAAAATTGACCAAAAGAATTGGTTTCATGTCTTTGGTAACAGATTCATTTATTGAAAATTATTGATCTTATAAATAGTATCAGGAAAGATGGTTAACTGTTTAAGAAAATAAGAGTTTGATCCACTCTTCTCACAATACCATGATAAATTCC